CCCTGTCTTGCAGAGCAATGAGTACCTGTTCACGGTGGTGGCCGAGGGGCCCGACGCGCTGCTGCTGGGCCTGCGGTACTCGCCCACGCGGGTGCACTTCCTGTTCCTCAGCGAGGACTCGGCAGGCGCCTGGCAGACCCGCGTGTCCTTCCGCAGCCCAGCCCTGACGGACAGCCAGTGGCACACGCTGGTCTTGGCTGTGTCTGAAGACTCCTTCTCCCTCACCACGGACTGCGGCGCCCCCGTGGACATGTAGGTACCGGGCGCCGGGGGGGGCCGCAGCTGCCGTGTGCTGCCTGACGCTGAGTCTGGAGTGGACGCCCGGGGGCAGCTTGAGTTGAGCAGTGAGGGCCCAGCGGGGTCAGGCTGGTGGAGGAACCATCGTTAGGAACATGCACTGCGCCACAAGCCTGGGTCACCAGCAGGTGGGCAGCAGGCCTGCCTCCTGCGGGGCACGGTGGGGCCAGGACAGGGGCAGGCACCAGTCTGGGAGCGGAGGGCCGTGGGGCAGGGAGCTGATGGCCGGCCGGGCTGGGGCTGAAGAGTGAATCCAGGCTGGGCTCCCCGGGGGAATGTGCCCGTGGGTGTGTTACCACGATGAATAGGCCGGAGGAAGGTCGTAGAGAACTCAGCACCAGAGGCAAGCGGGAGCTATGGCCCGGCTGCGGCCCAGATCTTACCGTGTGGCTTTCAACAGGTCATTTAACCTCTCTGACAGTTTCATCTGAGATGAAGGAGTAAATATATATATTTAAAATATGCTTTTATTGATTTCAGAGAAAGGAAGGGAGAGGGAGAGAGAGAGAAACATTAATGATGAGAGAGAGTCACTGACCGGCTGCCTCCTGCACACCCCCTGCGGGGGACCGAGCCAGAAACCTGGGCATGTGCCCTGACTGGGAATCGAACCGTGTCCTCCTGGTTCCTAGGCCCACACTTAATCACTGAGCTGCACTGGCCGGGCGAGGGAGTAAATATCCACTAAAACTCCAGATAAAGATGCAGAGGAATCCTTAGTAACTCTGATACAGCCCTGGGCACCGGGAAGCCTGAGTTCCTTTCTTGTCCTTGCCAGCGCCTCGTTGTGGGCCAGGGAACAGGGAGTCCCTGTGGCCTGGCCAGCTGCTGATCGTGTGGGCACTCAGCACCCATCCTTGCTGAGCGGGGCTGGAGACTTCTTAATCCCAAGTGGCCCAGTTACCTTCAAATCCATCATTATACCAAATATTACCTTCAAAGGTAGAATCTCACGCTGCTCTGTTATTATGAAACTTTTTCCATAATAAAAAGAAACCATAACATTTATACACTTGGTTTAAATATGTCTTACTCACCACCCCTCCCCCTCCAAGCCCTCGAGTACATTGGAGCCTTTACAGGGGTGATGGCTGGTCAGTGCCTAGAGGTTGTCGAGGGATAGCTCCGTGAGGGAGGGCGCGGAGGCCAAGCTGGGGGCCGGGCACCAGGCGGGAGTCTCGGTGACCGAGGATGGATTCAGGCCCAGGGCTCCGCAGGCCCTGCAGGCACCGTGGAGGGCACAGGCCAGAGCTCAGGCGACCTGGAAACTTGGGGCACTGGGCTGATGGTGCCATGCCAGCGGCAGCCAGATGGCAAAGACTGGAAAGAGCAGCTGCTTTTACAAGGGGACGTGGCATCGTGGCCTGGGAGACACGGGGCCATGGGGAGAAAGCACGGGCCTGGCTTCCCTGCCCCGGGAGCTCCAGCCACACCGTCCTCTCCAGCAGGGCGCCGACCTTCTCACCTTTCCCCAGAGTCTGGCCCCCGCGTGCACATCAAGACCCAACTCGGCCACATTTTCCACCACCCTCACCCTGACACCACCTGTCCCCCCAGGCTCAGCGGAGGGTGAACAGGCTGGAAACCCCGGCTGGCAGAAGCCCCTGGAGGTGCCGTGAAATGGCAAAGAGCCACTGACCACCTTGGCAGCAGGTGCTTTTGCAGAAGATCTCTGTCCTGGGGCCAAGGCTACCCCCCAAATTTATGTCCCCTAGGACCCAGGGATGGGACCTTGTTTAGGGACACTACCTTTGCCGGTGTGACCTAGTCCATTGAGGTCACCCTGGAGAGGGCAGCCCTGACCCCTTGACAGGTGTCTTCGTAAGAAGAGAAGAGGCTCAGAGAGACCATGTGATGATGGGGGCAGAGAGCAAGTGATGCAGCCACAATCCAGGAGCCCCCAGGAGCCCCCAGGCGCAGGAGGAGGCAGGGAGGACCCTCCCCTGGAGCTGTCTGCAGGAGCACGGTCCTGTCAGCACGTCAGTTTTGGACTTGTGGCCCCAGAACTGTGAGGGAATGAATGTCCGTGGTTTAAGCCACCCAGGCTGTGGCACTGTTACAGCCCCTCCAGGACACTGACACGTCCCACATGTGGCACTGCCCTGTCCTTTGCCACACAAATGACCTGCGCTGCAGCTCTCCCCTGGCCTAAAACCCTCACCCACTGTTTGCAGAACGGCGGACGTGCCCTTCCCAGCCACCCTGTCCGTGCAAGGAGCCCGCTTCTTCATCGGCAGCCGGAGGAGAGCCAAAGGCCTGTTCACAGTAAGTAGAGAGGGGCTGCCCCCCCGCCAGTGTCTGCAGCGGGGCTGTCACCATAGATCTGCTGCCCCGATGCTCTGGCTCAACAGACTGTCATGTGTATCAGATGGGACTGAGGATCACGAGGCTCAGTGGAGTCCCACGCACGCCAGGCACACCTGACACGGGGCCTTTGCACTAGCTGCTCCCTCTTCCTGGCAGACATGTGCCCTTTCCTGCCACGGCTCACACCCTGTGCCCTCGACACCTTGCCCCTTGTCCTCTTACCATGCAGGCTCTTCCCACCACTCAGAAGATGACCCCACACCCAGCCCTCCCAGACCCCACCCCTGGTTGTCCCTTCATCATGGCCCTGACCACCCTCAGACCGGCGGCGTGTTTTCTCACTGTCTGTCTCTCCCCTAGAGTGGAGGTGGGGGCGCCTTGTTCCATGAGGTAGGGGCTTTTGTTCCCTGTGTGTCCAGCGTCTAGAACCATGGCTGATGTATAACAGAGGCACTGTGAATATAGACTGATGGCTTGGGTGGGTGGATGGATGGATGGATGGATGGATGGATGGATGGATGGATGGATGAGTGGATAAATAAACAAATAAATGGGTGGGTGGGTGGATGGATGGATGGAAGGATGGATGAGTGGATAAATAAACAAATAAATGGGTGGGTGGGTGGATGGATGGATGGAAGGATGGATGAGTGGATAAATAGACAAATGAATGGATGGGTGGGTGGATGGATGGATGGATGGATGGTTGGATAAGTAAAATTGGCCAGTGGCTCTAGGTTAGTCCACAGGAAAATATACCTTCCTGGTTTAGCAACCTTAGCAGGGTGTCCAGTTCTCCACTGATGCTCCCAACGCTCCCCCATAACCTACATGCAGACCCTTCTCTCCAAGCTCTAAAGATGGCTTGTCCCCGCCCCCCCGGATTTCCACCCGCCCCAGGTCTGAACACACNAATGAATGGATGGGTGGGTGGGTGGATGGATGGATGGATGGATGGATGGATGGATGGATGGATGGATGAGTGGATAAATAAACAAATAAATGGGTGGGTGGGTGGATGGATGGATGGAAGGATGGATGAGTGGATAAATAGACAAATGAATGGATGGGTGGGTGGATGGATGGATGGACAGATGGTTGGATAAGTAAAATTGGCCAGTGGCTCTAGGTTAGTCCACAGGANGGGTGGATGGATGGATGGATGGATGGTTGGATAAGTAAAATTGGCCAGTGGCTCTAGGTTAGTCCACAGGAAAATATACCTTCCTGGTTTAGCAACCTTAGCAGGGTGTCCAGTTCTCCACTGATGCTCCCAACGCTCCCCCATAACCTATATGCAGACTCTTCTCTCCAAGCTCTAAAGATGGCTTGTCCCCGCCCCCCCGGATTTCCACCCGCCCCAGGTCTGAACACACTGCCCCCCTCTCTCTGCAGGGCCTGGTGAGGCAGCTGGTCCTGCTGCCCGGCTCAGACGCCACTCCAAGGCTGTGTCCCTGCAGGAATGCTGAGCTGGTGCTGTCCGTCCCCCCCATCCTGCAGGGGCTCACGGGGAAGCCCGAAGATAACGAGCTGCTGAAATACCCCTTTGGTTAGTGAGCCAGAGCCGCCCGCCCCCCACGCAGTCTTCTTCCCCTCCAGCCGCCACTTCCCCCTGCTGCCTGTTTTGCCCCCAGAGCAGCGTTCGGGGCCCTTTCTCCCCATCTCTCCTCAATAGACATCCCAACCTCGGCCCCTGCCCCCGGGGGACCCCACCTTCGCAAGGTACATTTCTATTTCCTGTGAACCCCCTGATCGGAGGGTCCCCAGCTTTACGTTTTTATTTTTATTTTTTAGAAAAATATGTTTTTATTGATCTAGAGAGAGAGGAAGGGGGAGGGAGAAAGAGACAGAAACATTGATGAGAGAGAAACATCAGCATCGATGGGCCGCCTCCTGCACGCCCCCTGCTGGGGATCGAGCCCCAACCCGGGCAGGTGCCCTGACCAGGAATCGAACCAGTGACCTCCTGGTTCATGGGTCGACTCAACCACTGAGCCACACCGGCCAGGGCCCAGCTTTGCTTCTTTAGTTTCTGTTTACACCTTCCCAGTGTAAAAGTACAACGTAGACTGTTTATTTAAACCACAGCCCTTGCCAGGAGGATCCACCCCCTCATTCACATGCCTTACCCCCTACCACTCGGCGAGGTGGGGAGACAACCCCATCCTCTCCCCAGCTTCACTGGGGGTGCCCCCCGACCTTGAGCAGGGTGACACTGAGATCCAGTCCTGGAACTGTGTCTCCAAGTCCCCGAGCAGGAGGCCTCTGGGTGTCTTCTTCAGGCCTCATGGGCCCCTGTAACCACAGGGAGTGCTCCTCAGGGGGCAGGATTCAGCCCCTGGGCCTCTGCCCAGTGCTTTGAGGGGTCAAAGGTGTGCTCCGTGTCACAGTCTGGCCTCGGGCCTGGGCTCTGAAGTGGCCAAGTGGCATCATTAGGATGTGTGCTCGACCTGAGGCGCAGGCATAGTTCTGAGAAGGGATGGGCTCAAAATGCCACAGAGCGAAGCCAAGCGGAAGTTTAGATAAACTCGTGCCAATTGGCCGCAGACACGGGAGGTGAGCCAGGCGTGCGGCAGTCACCAAGGATTTTCAGGAGAGCTCAGATCCAGGCAGGGTGGGCACGCTGCCTCCCGGAGCCCCAGGAGCGTCCCGGCGTCCCGCCAGGCACACGCCCCGGGGCAGGGCATGTGCCCTGGGCTCTTACTTGCCCCCTGAGGCCCATGTAAGACCCCGAGTGAGTCCTCGAAGTGCAGCTTCAAACGAAGGCAGGGCTGCTTCCTCCAGGGAGCCCGTTTCCACTGGACGCTCATCCTCCCTGTCCCCCCCAGAAACCGACATGAAGGTGACCCTGGGATCTCGGCCTCCGTGCACCAAGGTGGAGGATGCCCAGTTCTGGTTTGACGCCGGGCGGAAAGGGCTGTACCTGTGCGTCGGCAGCGAGTGGGTCTCCGTGTTGGCAGGTGAGGTAGACGGGGCGTCGTGGCTCCAGGGGCTCTGGAGAGTTAGGGGCTCTGCTCAGAGTCAGCATTATCTAAGGATAGGAGGCACCCCCACTCAGAGCAAGCCCCATATTTCATCTGGAACCATGTGCCCTCCTGGGCACCACACGTGGTCTGAAGGGGCTCATCACCTTGTCCCGGTCCCGGGAAGAGCACGAGGCTCCCTGGGCTGGGGGGGGGG